CCCCCCCCCCCTTGGCTACGTCACTGATTGACATTATTTTACATTCAAATATGACTACCAGTCAATACAACAATACTGTCATCATAAATAATCCTGACATCTCCTCAATAAAGGTCCGGTCTTCTTGTCATAATTAACCTTGTGGTAGGTAAGTCGTCATTAATGTTGTATTGACTTATTTATTTATTTATTTACAGTTCACAAAGCTTGATCTGTCTCCTGAAAGAAATCAATCCTCCCTGTCATCACGGTTGGTCATGCACATATAGGATAGACAATGATCATGTTTGTTCAGTGGGATAGACCTTTCCCCTTATGAGTGAATTTTTTTATATATAGACAAGCCTGGACAAAAATTTCATCACAGCTTGAAACACAAAATTAGTAATATTCTGAAGTTTCATTGCGAAATGTTGTAAAATGCGGATAATATAGCCTTACGAAGTTTGCCGTTTTACAGTCATTTTGTATTACGCACGGGAAATTGATGGCAGTTTGATCATCTGATTATCAATTTCCGTTTGTAATGCAATTATGCAAAATGACTGAAAAATGGCAAACTTCCTAAGGCTATATTATCCGCATTTTACAACATTTCGCAACGAAACATCGGAATATTACTAATTTTGTGATGCTCTTTCAAGCTGTGATGAAATTTTTGTCCAGATTTGTCTAGATCAAAATTTCACTCAAAAGGGGAAAGGTCTATTGCAAGCTAGACTTGACGCTTGCAATGTTCTTCATATATCGAGCATACGTTCTGCGATGTTACAGTCCGCACATGAACGATGAAAGAAATTTACATGTTTTGAAGTGCTCTCCAACATTTCAACAAATTTGCCTTGAGTTGCAAATTCCTTCGCTTGCTTTGAATAGTTCAATGCGCTCTTCAGAAGGTCTTCTTTTCTCTCGATTTCATCTGGTTTGAGATTCTGTGACCGTCGATAGAACAAGACAGAACGTGCCAAGAGAAACTGACAAACACGGTAACCTGTCATCGCGTAACCTTTATTCACAGACTTTTCTGCCGCGTTTAAATGCTTCACTGCTTCTTCAATTTCTGAGTCTTCTACTCTTCTGTCAGCTCTTGCATGACTTGCAAATGAACATCCAAGGTGTAGAAATGCTAAATTAATGTGCACTTTCTGTTCCTGGTCAAATTTCGATGGTAGAAAATCATTGGCATCTTCCAAGTGTTCAACTGCTTTCTGGAAAAAGTAAATTGCCTTTTCCTTCAAGATTTTCTTGTTTTCTCCATCACATTCCAATAGTATTGTAATGACCGTAGCAAGATTTGAATAATATCGAACGACCAGCATCCCAGTAGGAATCTTCTCAACTAGCGCTAAACCGTTCAGTCCGTGCTCATAACTTTCTCGAATATTTCCTCTACTACGTTCCAATCCTGAATTTAAAAGAAATTCTCTTGTTTCACTGATCTCTTCATCTTCGGATTGAGCTATTCCACTTCTATATTCTTCGATACTGCGTTGTGCCTCTTCGAAATATCCTCGTTTATAGTAGGCAGTTATTTTCTTTGATAAAATAACTAACTTTACTCCATGTGCTGCACAATTCGCTTGCTCCTCCTCTAAACGAACCCAAAACGTTTCCCACGAACCATCATTAATCAATCGAATCAAAACTCCATTCACACGATAGTAATTCTTTCGATTGCAAATGGAACTCCATGGAATGCGACCTATAGGTCGTTGACACTGAAGAGCACTCGTTGATTTGGCGCATGCGCTGTTGTCACGATCTGCCATTTCATGTGATCTTTCTGATCTAACTTCATTTTTTCAACAACGCCATCGACAATGTGGTAACTTTCTGGTTCTTTGAGAAATACCCCACCAGGACACCGTGCTACCACAATGGTAATAACAAATGTCGACTCTACCGATCTTCCTGTCTTGTCACTAACAGGGTGAAAATGAATGTCCCAGCTTTCACCCTTACGTGGGCCATCTTCCAATCCAAGCCAGATCATCTTATTGATTTTATTCGTGAACTTTGTGACTATAGATTCTCTTTCTTTTGCTGGAATGACTTCTCCATTGATTTGGTGGTGTTCATCATCTACTCCAACATAAATAACTCCACCACGATAATTAGCAAATGCTGAAACGCACTGAAGGATTTTATTACCTTTACCAATGACTCGATCAGCCAGTGTTGTTCGTTCGGCAGGAGCGTCTTCGAGTTGCTTAAACTGAACATTGTACGTTTCAGTCAGTTTGATTTCCTCTCCTTGTACAAATACATGTTGTACGGCTGGTAATTCCTCGCTCATGCTCATCATTTCTTCTCCAAATAGAAAATCTTTAACTTTTTTCAACGCTTCGTTTGGCAATACTCGATTAATCTGAGTATGGCTTGGCAGGAACATGTTGTAATCAACTGTAATCAGATTATAGAAACCCTCGATCTTAATGACAATTTGATCAGGTTCTACTCCAAATTGGACTTTCTCTAACATCGTTATGTTACCAATCAAGGTGTTAATCCATTGTTCAATGGTCCTTGCTCGTTGATCTAAATCTTTTTTCTCATAGTTCTGGTTAGGGAAAGTTATAATGAGATCTCCACCATCACTATTCAACAAGGCACATACATGTGAAGTTACTTGTTCTTTTCTCTTCTTTGTTGAGTCAGTCGGAGAAAAGGGGATAATAAGCGGTGGTCTCCTGTTTGTTGATCTGTGCATTTTTAACAATCTTTGTTCCGGTTTGCTTTTGAAATGGTTTACCAGAATGCTTAAAAGAAATGGATAGAGTTTAGTAACTTTAGTTCATTGTTAGCAAACAGTAATAGCCAAGGTGAAGTACTTTCCGGAAGCGTGTATTGTTGTAAAAATGCGAGAACGAGGTTACCTAAAAAAGGCAGCGACTACAAACGACGACGCACTATGGCAATAATACAAGCGTTTAAGAAATCAAACAAATAATGCATAAGACAAGTGAAACAAAATTATTTCACACAAAATCTCGAGGTTAAACAAAAAAGCTCTCGTAAATTAATGAGCTGAGTTCCTGCAAAAGATCGGCAAGGTATCTCTGAAATTAAAATTGGCGAACGTACTACCGTAAAATATCCTACCACATGACTGAGACCTTTAATGAATAATTTTCTGATATATGGCCAAACAGATACCACCAAATGATATTTAGCCTGAATTCTATCTCGATCCAACAGATAAATACCCTGGGTTCAAAGGTTTTCTGGTGAAAGGCGAGGTTTGACCAGCTAGCTGCGCCTAACCCCCTGACCCAGGATAACAGATAAGGAACCCTTTCTGTGATACTTTAAACTTTGGATCTGACCAGGAGCAACTCCTAAAAATGCAACCGTATAGGCCAGTCGGCCTACATGGCTGCCATCGGTGAGGTCTAAAATTGTATATAAATTTTTCGTCCAAATTTTCATCTACAAAACTCATCAACAATTTCTATTTTGCCAATTGCATCAAAGGTTTTTGAGAAAATAATCTACAACATCTTTTGTCTAGCTGTCAATCAGGTTCCTGCTTATTCCATAGTACTGCATGTCGTGGCTTTACTTGAGGCCACTAACAATTGGTCAGTCTAGTCTTCTCTCCGCAAGCATCTTTATAGAGGTTAGGGTTAGTCAACTAGACTTTTGTCGCCGACACCCTATATAATTTACCCTAACCGATTGAGTAGAGATACCTGCGGAGGAGGTTATGGTCAGTCAGTATAGACAAGAGTTATTCTTATGGGCATTTGATACTATTGACCATGCAGAAAAAATTTGTAAATTTAAAAATTAAATATACAAGACAATATACGAGTATATTTAAAAGTTTCTCAAATGTTGAAAATGTTCCAATAAAACTAATGTTAAAATTATTTTCTTCGATCGTTACTTCAATCTTATTATATGGTTGCGAAGTGTGGGGTCCGCATTTATTGGGCAGAATATTAGAATAAGTTCTTTCGACATGTTCTAAATCAATAGCGCAATTGAAAAACTCCATTTAAAATTCTGCAAGAGAGTCTTAGGAGTTCATTCAAAATCAACAAACATGGCTATTTATGCTGAGCTAGGAAGAACGCCTTTGATCGTTAAAGTAGCTAAACTTGTTGTAAAATATTGGTTTCAAATTAAAAGTTCATTGTTCGCAAATGCGCTTGTTGGAGAAGCAGCAAATGTATGCATGGAACTTAACCTAAAGCCAACAATTTTTCTCAAATATGCACTGCAACTAAGTGGGGGAGAAAATTGCAATCCACAAAGTGAATTATCCAACTTGCAGACGGAATTATTTGACACAGAAAAAGGAAGTGTTTGCCATTACGTGAAACATAGATTTAAAGAAGCGAATGTTCTCTGTTCAGTGGTTAATTGAACCATGTTTAATGCAATAGATGACGAGTTGAGCTCATTTTAGATGATTTAACATTCAACTTTAATTCCCTCTTGGGAATTGTCTATGTTTCGTTTTCCATGCAATTCCCAACGGTGGAAGAATGTGATTTCGACCGGCAATTTTTATTTGACGAGTATGTGGGCAGTTCTCGTCG